TTTCGAATGTTTCTGCTATATCTATATGTTTTATCATTTGATTTAATACATCCGAATACCAAGATAAATATTTACAAATAAAACATTCACAATCGATTGACAATCTAATAATTCACTTTTGTATTTTTTTCTCACTACCTATTTTACCATATAATTTTTTTCCCATGAACATTTCTTTAAACCTTTCATAATTTTCTATGGCAGACCTATTGTATGATGCATCATGTATCTATAGTTAGAACATACTCAACAAAAATAAAGTTTTGACATGTATATTATTTCAAAGATCATGAACTGTTTTTGAAAATTCACTTCTTTATAGATCTTAGAGATGGACTAGTTTTGATTTCTAAACATTTTCAAAATATTCTATTGTGTGTTATACCATATATCTATAGTTGGAAAATACTCAACAAAAATAAAGTTGGGAGAATTACTCACTACAACAAATATGGATTTTAATAATACATTACCTGAGCACATTCCCTGTTGTAAGAAGAACGAACAAAATAGAAGAGAGAGCAAAGGCATCAATTACCTCTGAGCTTTAGAGTCTTTCATGACTTCAAGGAAAGTGTCATACTTCTCTTTCTTGTCTTGAAACATATCCTTCACAGCTTTGAGATAGCTCAAGGCATCATTTGTTGTTAGCCCTCCCATATTTCCTTCTCCTCCACTCATCGTTAGTGGCTTACTTTCTGCATCACACAAACATAAATTTAACATTTGAAATTTTGTTTAAGCCTATATGGTAATGGTTATTAACCTAAAGAAAAATTTTAGATCTCAAGAGAGAAAAATCAAACTAATATCCTTACAAACAAACAAACAAAAAAAGCAGAATTTGAAAAGAACACAAATCAAAAACACAAGAGCTTACGTTTCTCCTCGAGAACGAAACGGTAGGTCCTCGTATCTGAGCTTCAACGTAGACCTCTAACTCTAACCCTCTTCATCTCTTTTTACCGGAATATGAATTACACAATAAAACAAAGATTCACGATTTTCACTGTAACCTGAAACCACTCAAAGTTCGAGAAAAACACAAATTCAAATTTTTTTCCCTCTAATACCAAATAGAAAATCAGATCTATCTCTGATAATCGACACACAAATATCAGAGATAAGAGGAACAAATAAAAAAAGAGGAGATTCTGATATTTCTCAGACCTTGTAGAGACCGGATCACATTCTAGGACAAAAGCGAACTTCTATGTTTGCCGGAGAAAAGAGATATAATCTTCACACGATAAAAGAGAAATAAACAAAAAAAAGCAAACGGAGAAGATTGCTTCTGGTTTGGATTTCTCTTATCTTTCTCGCTCTATCTCTCTCTCTCTCAGATACAAATAGTTTGAGAAGCGAAAGAGATTACCCGTAAAAACCAAAGGCTAAAGCTCGCGAGCAACAGAGGGAAGAGAAGGGCCTGTGTATATGTATATGTATATGTATGCATATCAGCATATGCATGTGTATATGTATATGCATATCAGCATATGTATGTGTATGTATACTTCATGCATTGTATATAGAGTCCTTTGGAGTTAAATAGATGTGTTTCAAATGGTCATTTTGGATTATCCTAATTAATTTGCACGGTCAAATTAGGGTAAATTAGTAGCAATGAATTTATAGGGTAAATTAGTAGCAAAATGGGATTATTCATGCATATATATCTTCTGTTAAGGAATATAATCTTCCTAATTAGCTAAGTTTTTGGAATTATGACATGTTTTTAACCATGTCTATATAAAAAAGATTAATGGGAGGTATGATAGATTTAGATAAAATTAACACGCGTAATATTTTTGTTTCATGTATCTGTTTTCTTGATTAGCTTTTAGGATTCTCTAGGATTGGTCAAGTTTTTAATTTTGTTTTTTAAAACATAGCTTATTGTTATTAACGTTTAAGGTTTTTTATAGATCATTAAATAGAGTTTTTGTTTTTTTATGGACCTATGATTTTACTAAGATTTTTTTTGTTTTATTTGACATATTAAATTAAATAAATAATTTTATAATTTATCATGATTTTTAGTGTTTTAAAAATTACTGGATTTACTGATCATTTTGAATGCTTTTGCTATATCTATGGATTTTATCATTTTATTTAATACATCTGAATACCAACCAAGATAAGTTTATAAGTACAACCTTTACAATCCATTGGCAACTTAATAATTCACTTTTTTACTTTTTATCATCACCCATTTACTATATAAATTTTTTTGCATTAATTGTTTTCTAAACCTTTGATAATTGTTTATGAAAACCAAGTGTGTGATGTATGATGTATCTATAGTTGGAAGATACTCGAGAAAAATAAAGTTGCAGTGATTTTTTTTATGAAAATACACTTCTTTATAGATCTTAAAGATGGACTATTTTTATTTCTACACATTTTCAAAATGTCTTCATATATAACATTATATTTCAATTTGTCTATCATACCAATATATTAATTTATAGAGGTATTGACTTATGAAGTTATAATTTGGCTGATAAAAATTAATTTAGGATAAATAAAGTATTGATTTATCAAATATTAGTTTAAATAAAATGTAGTATGAAATTTACTATATGACTTTCTCTCATCAAAGGGCATTTGGTCTAGTGGTATGATTCTCGCTTAGGGTGCGAGAGGTCCCGAGTTCAATTCTCGGAATGCCCCAAACTTAATATCTTTTTAATATCAATTTATTAGGCCAGGTTCCCTCAAATCAATACCTCTATTTCGTTGTGGCCTACGTAAAGCGCAGGGATTGTCTACATTTCTTGGAAACGGGATATTAGGCTTAGCCCTGGAAAAGGCCCCCAGTCTAGTAAAACATTTCTTGTAAACGCTCTAATTCTTTTGCTCGACTAAACACTTTGCACAAAAAAAAGTCATTGTTGACAGAGACACAGCAGCATCTATGTTCCGTGTGTTACAACAAGATTTAAATAAATAAATATTCTCAGGACCATAGTCGACACTTTGTCTGGAGAACTATATATCACTGGTCTACTTTCATGAAGTTTATTCAAGATGTATTATTTTAGTGTGCTACTAGTAAGTGACTGAATGTAGGTACAGATTTGTAGGCCAGAGATGCAAGGTTCTTTGCAACCTAATCATATTTTCTTGTCGTTTGTTGGAGAAAATTGGGGAATTTTCCAAGTTTTTTCCGGAATCTTGTGTGTCCTAAATTAAATATCGACATTCAAAACTTATTCACCTTTTTTGACCAAAGTTATGTTGGATTCTACGTTTTTAACATAAACAATTTCAATGTTAAGAATCTATACAAAGTGAGTGAATTCATATGCTTAAAATGTGAGAATTTTTGTTCTTTTAGAAGTACGTACGCTCAAACTCTTAGAGAGTAAAAATGACTTATCTGACCAGTGTTTAATAAGGGAACTCGCAACTTCTTGGAAGGAACCTGATTTATCAAGAACAGGGCACACTATATACGTAGTACAAATGAGTTCAAGTAATAGTTGATCAATTACAATCGAGTATTCAAATGTTGTATTATCGGGCTCTCAACAACATTTCTAACTCTTTGATATTCGTTTAAAGACTTTTTAATATTTTTTTTGTACTAATTTGATATTTTTCTTCCGGCTTATTCTCATCATAAACATTTGGTTCGAAGCTTATTCTATGAAAAAATGAAAAGATTCCTAAAGTGGCATCATGATTTTCTTCCGGCTTATTCTCTTCATAAACATCATAAACATCAGAAAAAAGGACCCAAACTCTACCTTTTTATTTTCCTTGCATATTTGAAGAACCAATCTCTTCTAATTTTCCATTATTGTGATTCCTAAAGTGGCATCATGATTTTCTCTTTGTCAGCGTGGCATTAGAGTTAGGTTTACCCGATAGATTACAAAAGCTTAGGAGTTATTTATTTATTTAATAATGTCTTCCCGTAAGAGGTTTTATGTTTCAAATTAATCAAACTATATATAAGGATGACAAAAAATTTCCTTTTAAGTTATCTCCGTTTTGGGTTTCTTGAAATTAGTCAGTAGAAACAAACATGGCTCCCATAAACGTTAGAGGATTTTCATATGCGAAAACATGATGCCTACCATCACATTTTAAATTAAACACTTCTCTTTGGAATTAGAGAACTTTTGTTTTGTTTTCAATATACATATAGTTTTAAATGACTTATCAATATACAGCCTTTTGTTGAAAAGGTATCATAGTATTGTCACCAAAAAAAGAAGAAAAAAAATCTAGTTAACATATAATATATCATCCTAGTTTTTGTTAAAAACAAAAAGAAGAATTCCTTTCACGTTTTGTTACGTGTTAAGAGGAAACCGTGTTTGCTTGACTTGCTCATCGATCAGCTCATGTGTAACATTGTGGATATATAGTTTCCTTTTGCTTGTAATAAAATAATTTTTGCAGAATCTTAGATTTTCTTTTGATTGTTTTCGTAGATATTTGATATTTGACATCTTACTTATAACATAACTATTCTCGCGCACGTTAGAATCTTAATTAATTTGCTGCTATATATTGAATCTATTTTGATTTTTTAACTTTTAAGACGTTAATTAGAAAAAAAGAGAAGTAAGATAATAGAAATTTCTAGGGTAATTAATTGATTTGTAAAAAATATACTATAAAAACGGTAACAACAACTATATTTTTAAATTTAAATGGTATGGCTTTTTTATGTTCTGAAATGTGATTTCGTCTATTAAAATTAAATGGTATGGCTTCTTCGCAATAATAAAACGAAATGATAAAAATGAGAATTGAAAAACTAATTTTCAATTCATCTTACACATTTTAAATTTATAACTAGTAAATAAAATTATATTCATCTAATAAATTGTACTTTTTGAGGTTTAAAATTTTTCAGTTAATTTTCTTTTATCTATTGATTCCGCTATTTTGGTATTCACCAATCACCACTAACACTATTTTAATATTGTTCATCACTTTAAAAAAAAAATATTGTTTATCATTATTTTTTTTTAATCACACATTATTACGAAAAGGATTTTTTGGAGTTGAGAAGAAAATAAAAGGAAATTTGGAGTTAAAGAAAAACAAATGGAAACTTGGGCTCTAAATTGAAAGGGAACGTAAAATTTTGTGGAAGGTGGTAAAATTTGATAAGTTTAAAAGGCAAGCCAAAGGCAAAGACGAGAGAGTCTTGTTTAAAAGCCAAGTAGTACCAACCGTACAGTCATCTTCATTGCCTTTTTTTCTGCCGCCAAATCTCCACAAAGCTCTTCTTCTCTCCTTCCATGGCGGATTTCTACTAGCTACAACCAAAACGATAACCTCCGGTGACTTTCGAATAATGCCTTCCGTTCAAATCCGTTCTTCGCCGGTGACGGTTACCGATCTCAAGCAGCGAGTCATCGCCTGTCTCAACCGACTCTCCGATCGCGATACTCTGTCTCTCGCCGCCGCAGAGCTTGAATCAATCGCTCTTAACCTCTCACCGGAGACTTTCTCTCTGTTTATAAATTGTCTCCAGAACACAGACTCTTCGGCGAAATCTCCGGTTAGGAAACACTGCGTTTCCCTCCTCTCCGTCCTCTCTCGTTCCCATGGCGATTCCCTCGCTCCTCACCTCTCCAAAATGGTCACCACCATACTCCGCCGTCTCCGCGACCCTGACTCCTCCGTCCGCGCCGCTTGCACCGCCGCTTCCGTCGATATGACAACCAGCATCACCGGATCGCCATTCTCTACCCTCTCCGGACCATTGATCGAAACCCTAATCCACGATTGCGATCCCAACGCGCAGATCGGCGCCGCCGTGTGCCTCGCGGCGGCGATTGACGCGGCTGAGGAGCCTGACGTTGAGCAGTTGCAGAAAGCGCTGCCGAAAATCGGGAAACTTCTTAAATCGGAAGGATTCAAGGCGAAACCGGAGCTTCTCGGAGCCATAGGGAGCGTGATCGGAGCCGTCGGCGGAAGAAACAGCGACAAGGCGGTGCTTGATTGGCTTTTACCGAACGTTTTGGAGTTTCTAAGCAGCGATGATTGGCATGCGAGGAAAGCTGCTGCGGAGGCGATGGCTAGAGTTGCTATGGCGGAACAAGAGTTAGCTCCGTTGTATAAGAAGGCATGTGTAGGTATCATGGAGAGCAGAAGATTTGATAAGGTTAAGCTTGTTAGGGAGACGATGAATCGTACGTTGAGTTTATGGAAGCAACTTGAAGGTGATGATTCTACAGAGATCTCAGAGTCTTCTTCTTCCTCCAAATCAGCTTCTTCTGGTTCATCTGCGACTTCAAGGCAAAGAAGCAATACATTGAAAGGCAAAGACAAGAATATAAAAGCACCAATAAGCTCAAAGCTGAATGATGTTGAAGAGAAGCGGAACCATTCAACATTGGGAGCTAAAAGGGTTCTCTTCCCAGCAAAGCCAAAGCCAAAGCCGCGTGATGCTCAGAGTAGTGACGAAGAGAATCTTGAAGCAAGAAGTTCTTCTTCACAGAGGAAGAATGCAGAAGAGTTGTCTTTGATAAGAAACCAAATTAGTCTTATTGAAAAGCAACAGTCTAATCTGTTTGATCTCTTTCAAAGGTTGATGGAGAGCTCGCAGAACGGGATGCAGTCTCTGGAGAGACGAGTGCGTGGTCTTGAGACGAACCTAAGCGTAATCTCCACTGATTTGATAGTCACTCGCACCATAACACAACAGAATGGAGGAAACCACAAACGAAACGCCTGTCTACAGAACTGAAATGCTGATTATACCTGACCACAACACCTTCAATGTTTTAGCTTGTGAAGAAGAATGAGTTTTCATTGCTTTTCATGGCTTTTTATTTATGAAGCTTTTATTTTTTTGACAATTCATTTCAGATTTATGTAACCACATGATCACATAATGAATAGTTCTTTCCTCACAGTTACACTGCTGAGCCAATGAATGGTTAGAACCTTTATCGATCGATGCTTGTAATGTGTTTCCGCTAGATGATTCCCCGGTCTCTGCTTGTTTCGATCTCCTTCTCGTGAAATTCTAAGCGACATCAATGAAATATCTTCCCAAAGTTGCATCTAGCTTCTCCCCAATTGAAGAAATCCATGCCTAGATTATGATGAGCAAAGCAAACTCTTTTACTTGTTCTGTTAATTTGTCCAAGTCACAAACAAAATAGAGAAGTTCAATTATTTTCCCTACCTGGTCTGAAGATGTGAAGCCTCTGATTGTGTTTCCGCCAATAACTGCGATTCCTTTATCACCAAGTGGCTGCAAAATCACTGCCTAACGGGAAAAACAAAAAAACACAAATATTTGTCAACAAAGTTTCATTATTCACTATGAAAGTGTAATACTTGAATCCTCAACAAACCTGTGTATTTGCAGGCAAAAATGGCAGCTCTGATCTCCCCGGATAAAGAGAAAGATTGGCCAAGTAACTTTCTGACAAAACAAATCGTTTTCTTTTTTCTTCTTTAGATACTAATTGCATATTTCTCACAAATATATAAACTGGAATTTTCGTACTAACTTACGTGCTTTGGATTTCATTACGCCTTGGTAAACCGATCCTTGCATGAGCTTATCAGTGTTTACTATGATTGCTTTCTTATCTTGTGGAGATTCAGCAACCATCCCGATTTGAATAAGGCAAATTCCATTGTAGACAATAACCAGAGACTTACAACATGTTGCTGCCTTAAGAGACACCCAAGCCCTGCGAGAAAATAGGCAAAACGTCAGATTCCATTCCCTCTTTCTTCCCAAAAGAACATTGAATCATAGAACAATTATACCATAATAACTCAGAGACAATCGATGCAGGAAGATCAGATTCTACAACTTTACATTCCACACCTTCAGGTTGTACCTAATTTATCAAACAAAAACCGAGAATTTCGATTGCTATTTAAAATTCTACAAACTTTCAATATTCAAACTTTGGTTATTGAGTGGAAAAAAAAAAGCAGAAGGATTAAGAAATCTTACTGGTGTTATGGACTTTGGTCGAATCGATAACCAGACTAAACCGGTCAATAGATTGGTGACGGCTAAGCCAAGTGCCAATAGATCTGCTCTAGACTGAGAGCTACGATCGCATCAAAACACCAAATCAATATCAATGCTTTTGAAAATTGACCTCGAATCACATTTCGTTTTTGAAAATACCTTACTAAAACTCAAATTGGGCGCAGCTAAAAAAATCAGATAAACCGAAGTTAACTTGTTCAGTCTCAGAGTTGCAGAGAGTTTTGTACCGATCGAAGATTACCTGCTAGCATCGGCAACAGGAGCGATACCGGAAACAGCGCGATTGAAGAGGACGGCCAAGAGAGAAGCTCCTCCAACGTAGATCGGCAAGCTCCGTACCGAGTCATCGTTTCTGGAAACGAAATCCGCCACCAAGTTCTTGCTCGGTTTCGGACCTCTGTAGCTTTTCGGATCCTAGTGACCCGAAGGAAAATTTAAAAATAAAAGGAGAGAGAGAAAAGAAAAAAAAATGAAGGAATGAAACCTGCGAGGTTGAAGAAGAAGCTCTGATAAATCGCGGGAAATCGAAGGGAGGACGAGAGAATCTGCGAATAGGGTTCTTCGGGATTTGAATTTGGTGGATAATTCTCGCTTCCATTGCAGATTGAAAGAAGCAAGCTGAGGTTAGTGATGAAAATTGGCCGTTAGGACGACGTTTAATATATCTCCATACGACAGCGTTTAATGTATCTCCATACGACAGCGTTTAATGTATCTCCATACGACGGAGTTTAATAAAACGCACTGTAAGTATATAAAATGAAATATTCGTCAGTAAAAATGCCGTCGTATCCGTCTATATCCGATTTGCCTCATCATAACCAAAGAGAACGAATTCGCCACGTGTCAATTTCCTTTTGACCCGGTTCGAACCCGTAAACAAATATCTCAAATTAAATTTTTCTTTTTTGGCTTCAGAAATATTTTACACCTCAACAACTTTATATATTTTATATATTAAAATAAAAAAATCGTTTGTCTGAAATAAATATCCATTTTACAGAGAGAGAGAGACGGCGCGTGATGAGAGAAACCGAACCGTCGACCAGAGCCACCTATTAACTCTTAAAAAACCACCGGCGACTCTTCATCCTCCTCCGTCGCCATCGTCGCCGCCGTATTCGATTTGAAGGAAACGGTGGCCAAATCCGTTAGATTTGGATTTTAAAGGTTGAAAAGGACGAGAGAGAGGAGATGCCGTCTAACGGGGATCTCGACCGTCAGATCGAGCAGCTGATGGAGTGTAAGCCGTTGGCTGAGGCGGACGTGAAGATCCTCTGCGATCAAGCCAAGGCGATTCTGGTTGAGGAATGGAATGTTCAGCCGGTTAAGTGTCCGGTTACCGTCTGCGGCGATATCCATGGCCAGTTCTATGACCTAATTGAGCTTTTCCGCATTGGTGGTAACCCGCCGGATACTAATTACCTCTTCATGGGAGATTATGTAGGTTAGTCCCTCTGTTCTCGATCAAAAATCAATCGTTGTTATGTAGGTTAGGGATTGCGATTTCGTCTCTAAGTTATATATATTCCCTGGCTTGCTTTTGAGTGTTTTTCAGGGTTAGATCTGTGTTAGCTAATTTTGATGCAACGATGATCCTTCGAATGATTCTAGTTTCATTGATTTGCTTTTGATTTCATGAGCCTAATGAAAATTTGCAATTTTGTTATACCTAAAGTGAGCTTCGTGTGGGTTTCATTTGTTGGGATGAACAACTTTTCTCAATCGCTTATCTCCGACTTGTTCAGATACTTTTTCATTGAAACTTTTTTAATCCTATCGTCATATGACCATCATTAGGCTTTTGTATAGTGATGCTCATTTTCATGAAAGCCATTCAATAGAATTTAGACCTTTTGTTTGAAGTTGGAGCTGATAGTGAATGTCCTGTGGTTTATTGTTCGTCTCGGTTTATACCTGTGCAGATCGTGGATACTATTCAGTAGAAACAGTCTCTCTATTGGTGGCACTAAAGGTGCGTTACAGGGACAGACTCACGATTCTGCGAGGGAATCATGAGAGTCGTCAAATTACACAAGTGTAAGAAAACTTGTATTATATTCCCTTCCGACTCACATCAACATAAAGTGTTTTCATTTTCCGGGCGTCTGTTCATGTCCCTTTTTGTTCTTTTTGTGTGTTCAGATATGGTTTTTATGACGAGTGCTTGAGGAAATACGGAAACGCAAACGTGTGGAAGTATTTCACGGACCTTTTTGATTATTTACCTCTCACAGCACTCATAGAGAGTCAGGTTTGAGCTGTTCTTGCCAATCACCATATTTGTTGCAATTCTGCACTTGTCTTCATCGACTGTAATCTATGCCAGGTTTTCTGTTTGCATGGAGGTCTTTCTCCTTCACTGGATACCCTTGACAATATCCGAAGCTTGGATCGGATACAGGAGGTAATGATGACTATATTTTTCCTATAAAGGCACTATTTTGTACTTAAGTATAAGCAAATGTCTCCTCTTTCTCCCTAAGACAATGATTCTCTCTAGCTATAAACCTTTTGTACGCTCGTAGTTATTCTCAGATTTGGCTTATGAAAGAGTTTATCATCTAATATGGTATGCTCTTGGGATTGTAGGTTCCACACGAAGGACCAATGTGCGATTTACTCTGGTCTGATCCAGACGATCGATGTGGATGGGGAATATCTCCCCGTGGTGCTGGCTACACATTTGGACAGGACATTGCAGGTCAATTTAATCATAACAATGGACTGAGTCTGATATCAAGAGCGCATCAGCTTGTCATGGAAGGCTATAATTGGTGTCAGGTATTTATGTTCAAAACATCAATTAGCATATACATCTCGAATGGGTTTGTGTGTTGCAAAAAAAAAAAAAAGCTTAATCTTTTGGTTTGTGTTCATAGGAAAAGAACGTAGTGACGGTGTTTAGTGCACCAAACTACTGTTACCGATGTGGAAACATGGCGGCTATACTTGAGATTGGAGAGAAGATGGAACAGAACTTCCTTCAGTTCGATCCAGCACCTAGACAGGTCGAACCCGATACCACTCGCAAGACCCCTGATTATTTTTTGTGATTTCTTACCACTTCAATTTTTTTTTTCCTTTTTTTTCTTAAATTCCAAAAGTTTGTTTGTTGCTGTATCATTGTAGATGCGTCTCTTTTGTTATATTTTGTTTTGTGTTTCTTAATGGGAATTTGGATTATTGATAAGAGTAAAACAGTATTTTATCCAATACCACCAATTAATCGATGTTCTGAAAGTACAGATTCAAATCTCACTTGCCAAAGTATATAGATCATTTTATTTTCTCTCTCAATGCAATCTTTTAAGCGGGTTCGTTGGCAAAAGAGGCCCTACTTTGTATGAATCAGTGATGGAGCCTAAGTTTCTATTTATAAAAGCTATGGTTAGCCCACCAATCATTACCTGCCTTCATTACAACCATAGAGTATGTAAGATTCGATTGATTAGGTAGACAAAAAGCATTTTTCATTAAGACCACATCCTATTCACAATCCCTTAACTGATGATCGACAGTTGAGTTTAATTTGGCATACAATAATAAGTTAGAATGAAAAAGGAGAAAAAATGACACTAGGATATGTAATCAAATCAAATTTATGTACAGAAGGAAGAAGTACTGGATCCTAACGCTTGCCTCTCCACATAAGTCATAAATGGAGCTATAAGAAAATGGCGTTTAAAGCAAAACACAAACATAAAAAAGATGATCATTAGTAAAACATCTAAGAGGTACATTTCTACATATATTTTTAAACTAAAGGCCTAAAAAAAAACCCCCCAATTTGATGATGAAAATTGCCTAAATGTACAAAGACAATTAGCAACAATATACTTTTTACTTCTTCTTTGGTAGTTGCTTCGGCCGTGACCTCATACTAGCTCTCCTTGCCACATCCCACGCCTTCTGTGGCGCGTAAACACCTAGTTGAGACGCAAAGAAAGACTCATAGCCTGGTGAATCAAATGCAAAACCAGTGTGCTTTGAGAGTTCCCGAGGCAATTGCGATATCGCATAGCTTCTGGCCTCTTGAGGTGTGAGCTCGTTCTCTATCTCCAGGTGATCTGCCTTGCTTGCATCTGACTCGTGCCTATGTATTTCTTGAACGATCTGATAATCATATGGGAAGAACCATCTCTCAACCCTGTATCAGTGAAGACAGGTGTTGACCATGTTAGGTGTAGCTGAAACTGTGACCTTCAAGAAACTATGAACTGATAATATCTAGGTTTTACTTACCCTTGGAAGATGAAATCGCCTAGAAGAGAAACAATGGGAACAAGCAGCAATGTGAAGTAGAAATAGAATGTACTCATCAGGACAAAGATGACAAAGTAGACATTTTCCTGCAGAGACGTGTGAAAAGATAGAAATCAGATTTGCCAAGTTATGAACATCAAGAAAACCCAAAGATATACTCAGAAAGGAAAGGAGCGCTTACATTTCTATCACGTGGTGTAGTGATCCCGCAGTATATGAAAGCAAAAACGAGCCATGCAGCAATGCTCCCACCGACTGTGATATAATGCCATCTGGTAATGGAATTGCTCATCAAAAGAATGCGCATGTTCACAGCAATCACGAGACATGTGAAGACCATTGTGCTAACATCCCAGAGACCAAATATTTTGCCTGATGAATTTACAGCCCCAAAAGATGAAGAGGTCACGAAGAGATAACAGACGAGTGACTGATACACAGCAGAAGAAGCCCATACTGCTACGACTCTCCATTTAAAAAATGAGTTACGTATCCCCTCTCTATACAATTCTGGGTATCTCTTTGAAAGGGACGCACTCACATCCTACCAAGACAACAATATTATCAAATCCAAAACAAAATGAAGAGAGTCGCACAGTTTACGATGGGTATTCTTTTGTATAAAGCAAAGATCGAGAAAAGCTAGTACCTTCTCAAACAACCCAAGGACAATGACAGGAAGAGCTGTGAATACAACGTTATACAATGACTGGAACCAATCATCGTAGAACCTTTGACCAGAAAATCCAGTTCGAAATGTGAACCAAAACTGAGTCAAAGTGAAAGTAAGGTTCTTGTAGAAGAAATACATTACAACCTGCGAAGCGAAAGATCATTAGAACTTCAAAAATTATATACATGTTATGCGGCAAAAGAGAAATTCAACCTTGCAGATTCGAAGGTATGACCACCGTCCATGAACAAGAAGCAAATCTGTAAGAAATCTGAACTGAGCAATGGCAAAATCACTAGCCATCACAGCTTGCATTCCCTCCATCCCACTTATTCCTATACCAACATGAGCGGCTTGAATCATGCTGACATCATTGGCACCATCACCAATACTAAGTGTAATCTTTTTTGCCCCTTTTCTCACCAAGCTTGCCACCTGAAATTAGATAACATATGTTAGAATTTTAGAAGCCGGTTCAAAGAAGACAGAGAACCAAGTTACTCAATGGATATGAATTAAGTGCCAGAATTAACTACCAATTGCGCAACCAAAGCCACAGAACAATAATATATAAGCTTCCTTTAAAAAACCAGCGTGTACGAATTTATTTCGAAATTAGTCATCTGAAATTACCTGTGCTTTCTGTAACGGAGAAACACGACAGCATACAACTGAAGTACAGTTCAAGCTCAAGCTTAGAAGCGTCACGCGTAAACTCGGGTCTAATGCATACGTTAAACACTTTCCATCAATAACGAGGGCCAGTTTTGGTCCAGCTACGGTATGCAGAGAGTGTTGAGCTTCTTCAAGGCTCTTTTTCAGCTGGCTCTTCACTTCTTCTTTGATAACACGAGCAATCTCAACTTGATCACCCTAATATATGTATAAGTTTTTATTAATAAAGAATAACTTAAATGTTTGGTTCCATAAAAATCCTACACAAGACAAGATTCACAGTAAACAATTACCCTTTCTTCAGCATTCCTGATTGCGTCCGTTTCAGAACTGATTATAAATTGTTTCATATCATTGTTGATCAAGTTGCATGCTGTAGAATAACAAAATCAAAGATTAGATATTCAAGTGAGAGAAGAAAAAGTAAGATCCAAGAGCTACAGTTGGTGGAATACCCTACCATATGCAATATTAATAGCCGTTTCCATTTTGTCCCCTGTTAATACCCAGATCTTAATTCCAGCTCTTGATAAGGTCTCTATGCAATTAGGCACCCCTTCCTGAAGTTTGTCTTCAATTGCAGTCGATCCGATGAGGATAAGATCCTTCTCGATAATTTCTGCCACCTGCATGGATCAAGACACCTCACATTCATCAGGTATAATTGATCAACTATTTACAGGCGACCCAAAAACTGTACTTAAGGTTACAATCTTTCTCACTACTTAAGGACATAATTATATAAAAAAATTCATTCCTGTTATATAAAATAGTTATATTGCTCCTAGAAGCCATTTTGAACCTCTGAAATTTATTTAAAGTCGTTTACTCAAGAGAATGTTGCCTCAATCATTGAAAAGGATATAGCTGAGAAATAATAGTATACCTCGTCTAACTTCTTTTCACGGTCTCGTAATGCAGATTTGGCCTGGATGAATTTTTCATTCCAACTATCGTAAGTTGCAGGGTTTAAATCTTTATAGGCCAGACAAAGGGTGCGCAATCCAGAAGATCCATAATTTTCCAAATGCTCTCTTGTTACTTTCCTAACATCGTCCATACCATCGGCCAATCTCTCAAAGATTACGTTATCAGCACCCTGTGGACAAAGCTCCAGCAAGCAATGATCAAAATTTGACCTCGAACTACACAGAGAAGCAGGTGTTTAAGATCTATTACCTTACAGTATAGAACAAGCCTTCCATCTGGGAAACGACATACAACAGATTGGCGCTTCCTTGTACTGTTAAGCATTGTGTAAAATTTTATTGGTATGCTTAAATCACGACATAGAGAAAACAAACAAATAAACATATCACCGTCATATAGACCTGTTGAACTCGAGAACATTAAGGATCTCATAGGCCACATCTTGAATCTTTCCCATCTTCTCCACATGAGACTCGCGAACATACACCATAGTTGGAGTACGCCTGAAAATACAAAATAAAAGTAGTCTCAAACAAACTAACACAGACTGGAGAGACAAAAGGACCCATGGAAGAAAATATAAAATTTACAACTAGGAGTCATGGGCAAGTTAACTAGTTGCAAATTTTATCTTGTCATATTGCCTGCAATTTCAACTTGTCTTTGGAAACTGAAATGTAATGAGGATTACCTGTAAAAGAAGAAACCAAAATTCTTGGCGGCAGTAACTAGGGCAGCTTCATCTGGAGATGCAGCTTGATAAATGATCTTCTCAGGTGACTCATCACCTTCAGGAAGGACTGTGTGGCAGATGGCTAGGCATCTAAAAAGTTCCTACATGAGCAAGTACAATATCACAAGTTGAATTAGCATCTGCACCTGCATGGCCAGAAATAGACTCAGCAGAAATCTGGAACCCGAAACCAATGAACTTCTTTTTTTTGTGGGGGGGGGGGGGGGGGGGTCAAACCAAGATTTCTCTAAATCACGAAAATGTCATTATAATATTTTAAAGGCCTTGGCCAGACCCAATCTGTAGTTTTTAGTAAACTCGCAAAACAAAAACCTTAAATTCAGGCTATGGGCAAAGCTAAAAGACTAAACAAAAGAACCTTTTCAAGATATAACCTTACAAGTTCACATCTCAGCACCTATCAATTACACAGTAGACCGCACTTTTTCATGAAAGGAAGCAGAAATTTTTTTAGATTAGCCCTAACTCTATAACCACTTAGCTAGTACAATTCTTAAACTTATTGTGAGCCAAATCTCTGGAAAATGGAAGTAAGGCACCTTGCAAAGATCAGGATTAGGTTCGTTTCTCCAAGCTCCCCGCATTAGCCTTGGATCATCAAAATTAAATCCCTTTTCTCTTATTGCACCAGTCGACCTTTCCTCCTGAGAATATTTGTAGCGGTACAAATTAGACATGCTTCCATTGCACCATAATGAATTAGGCAACTTCCCAATCTAAAAATAAATGATACCTCTTGAACTTTTAAACCATTACGCTGAGCGATTCCTCTTTCTATTTCAGTGACACCACATCCATAACTTATTCCTCCAATTGAACATTTAAAGAACTCCATCAAATTTCTCGTCAGCGTTCCAGTTTTATCAGAAAATATGTATTCCACCTGAAAGATACCATAGTAGTTTCAACTGCAGTGAGACCGATACCAAAGTATATAAAAAATAATAATAATCTAGCA